TGATGTACCAACATCAATGAAACCAGTTTTTAATAAATTTATTGTGCAGAATAATTTAATTGAAGTATTATACTTCTTTTTGTACAATATCAAATCCAATTTAAACCTAATATCAATTAATTATTTAGCACCAGTTGTATATTCAAAATAAGGTCATTTTCTAAGTTCTTAACAATTAGTGTTAGGTTTAAGTCATAAGTTCACAGAAATAATTTACTATTATAATTACGTTATTAATGAAATGAATTTCAATTTTTGTATTATCTTTCAAATATAGCTTTTTATAACATTGTTATATTCAAATGTATTTTTCAACTCTTTTGTTCAAATAATTAATAAATTAACTCATTACTTATTGTTTGTTCTTTTTGTATCACTATATATTCAAAAGACTATTTTGGTATTATTATTATTCATATCCATAACTAACAACACTCACCAAATACTGTAACTGGTATTATATTGTGGTTGTTGTTAATAAATAACATTTATAAAACAAAGTTATCAAATATTTTAATTGTTGTTGGTATTATTTTTCTGTTTTTATTTCTATCATACTATCTGTATTTTATATGTTTATTATGTTTACATATTCTTTCTCTTTTCAATGTGTTGAATTTTTACTGTATACAATATTAATTTCTTTAGTTTTTTCCAATTTTAAACATTTTATACCATATTTATCATAAATATGAAATGTTTCAAAATTAGGAAAGAACCTTCCTGAATATTTATTTAAAGGAATTGGATTAAAATGAAATCGTTCTATATTTCCTTGAATTCTTTTAACTCCAATTTCTAAATTAATAAAATATTTAATATCATTAAAATACATTAACATTACATTATTTCATTACATCTTTGGTTATTGATGTTATTCTTTTTATTTTAATTTGAACTTAAAATATTTTAATATTATCACTCTTTCTTATTTATCATTGTTAATATGAAATGAATAATAATGAATAAATATAAAATAAGAATAAAATGATATAAGAATATAACATAAATAATAAAATAAGAAATATATAATAAATATAAAGATAAAAGAAGAAGAATAAAATAAATAAATATAAAATAATATAAATAAAATAAAAAATAAATAAAAAAGAATAAAATAAATATTTTATTATATTTTTATTTATCTTTTATTCTTATTTCTTTTTATTATTTATTAAATTAACACAATGAATAGGATGACGAAGCATTACAGGAAACACCACAAAAATTATAAAAAAATTAATAACAAAAGAAGGAGAAATCCATACCAATCAAGAAATATAAATGATAGAAGAATGAGTGAAAACACGTATTGTCTGTATGGACAGAAATACATTAATCATCACAACAATCATTACCATAATAATAACTATCACCATAATAATTATCATAACAGTTATAATAATAATGGTAAGAATCGTTTCACTCATCACTTCAGTCATTTTCATCATCATAAGTATTTTATCATTAATTCAAATAGAAACAATCAGTATTATAATACAAATAAATCACATAATAAAACACAACACAGATATAAACAATACCATAATAAAAGACAACAACAAATAAGAAATAAAAGAAAAGAAATGATAGAAATACAAAACCAAGAATATTGGAAAAGACTATTTGAAGAAGAAACCAAAATACTTACACCACAAGAAATAGAATAAATTAAGAACACTAAGATTAAAGAATATAATCAACAATAATGAGAAGATGGTATTTACTTGCAAGAGAAAAAACAAAAATGATTAGAATGAAAGAAGAAACGATCAGTATGACACTTGAAGAAGATAACAAACAACTAAATCAAAATAAAATAAATGATAAATACTTAAATAAGAAATATACAATATTGAAAATGATGATGAAAATGAATTTACTGAGGAGAAGAGGCTTGCTGAGGAGAAGAAGAGGCTAGTAGAAGAGGAGAAGAGGCTTGCTGAGGAGAAGAAGAGGCTTGCTGAGAAAGAGAGGCTAATAAAAGAGAGAAAGGAGAGGCTTGTTGAGGAAAAGAGGGACAATGAAGAGAAGAAGAGGCTTAATGAAAAAGAAAAGATGAAATTAAAAGAAGAGGAAGAAAAGAACAATGAAAAAGATAAAAGAATAGAAGAATTAAAGAAAAGAATAGAGGAGGCTATTAAAGAGAAAGAAGAAATGAAAAATGAAATACAAAAGAAGGACAAGCCATTAATAAATTATCAAATGACATTATATCATTAAAGAAGAATCATGAGAATGAGATAAACACTAAAAAACAAGAAAGTGATAGAAAATTATTCGAATTCAATGCTGAATCAGAAAGGAAAAGGTTTGAGGTAAGCAATTTATCACAACAAGTGTACTTCTTGAAAGATAAATTATTTAAATTACAAAATAAAATTACACAAGAAGAAAAGAAGAAAGATGAGATAAATCACACTATATCTGACTCATCTGAAACACAATTGTGAATGACCTCAACCCCAATGTGGTAGTAGCTGATGAAATATCATCAAGCGAAGATGATCTTCCAAAAAAAAAGAAAGTTAAGGCAGAATTCAATCGAAGAGATGGGAGTTCAGTATAAAGATCACCACATCTGATCAAGACAATCAAAAAAACGGGGGAAGCAAACAAATAGAGAAGAAGAAATTCTAACACTCTATAAATGTTTGCACTGAAGTTATTAGAAAGAAAATTAAGAGGTCAACTTAAAGAAGAAGAAATAAAAAGATTAATACATGAAATTGATATTAAAATAGAAGATATTAATGAATATAAAGAAATATTAAAGAAAACATTTAAAATAAAGAATGAAAATAAAATTGAAATCAATAGAAGAAAGGAAGAAGAAATAATAACACACCAATTGAAAGATATTGAATTAAAAGAATTAATAGCCGGAATAAATAAGAAAGAATAAATACAAGAAATAATAAGAATATTTAAAGAAGAAGATATGAAAGAACAAGAAGATGTATAATTTATTAATTATTATTACAATAAAAACAAAATACATCAAATAATTAATATCATTAATACAAATGAAATAGTAATCAATACATTAGATGATTACTACCATTATATTAAAACTATAACCTCCACCATTAACATCATTATTAATAAGAATCAAGAAAGAAGTGGAAGGAGAAGTATAGAAAGAATATTACAATCAAAAATATGTAGATTAAGAGACTTGCTCCATAATAACCAATATATGAAATTAAAAAGAATATTAAATATTAAAAAATATGATATATATCATATTAAAGTAAAAACAAAGGAGCAAATAAACTATTACAAATACCTCCAAAGAATGAAAAGAATAGAAATAGAAGTAAGAAAGAATAATTGGAAAAGAATTAGATGGAATTATAAAATGATAAAATATGGAAAGAGACAACTTCTAAATAAGCCTAAAGAAGATGAATATCCAGATAATATTACTACAATTAATTTCTGGAAAGGAATCTATGAAAATAACATCAATATAGATTTCATAAATAATAATTTATATGAAATATTAATTGAAAATAGAATTAATAATAGAAGGTGCGTAATCACTTTTGATGAATTAAATCATGCAATAAAATTCATTGATAATTGGAAAGCACCTGGAATTGATAAAATACAATCATCTGGATTAAATAATTAGAACGCAAAAGATTCTTATTAAAATTATTTAATGAATGGTTGTATAATCATAATGATATCCCTCTTCAATTTATCCAAGGAAGGACAATATTAATATACAAGAAATGAGATAAATTAGACCCACAAAATTACAGACCAATAACTTGTTTAAACTGTCTGTTAAAAGTATATACATCTTTATTAAAGATGAAGATAGAAAGCCAACTGATGCTAAATCAAATTGAAAAACAATTATCACAAAATTAAATTGGATGTAAAAAATATACATATGCATCAAAAGAAGGATTATTATACAATACTATAATCATTCAGTTATTAATCAAGGCTAAATGGAAGTGGGTAGAAACATATTATGATGTTTCTAAAGCATATGATAATATTAATCATCAATTTGTTAAACAATGTTTAATTTACTTTAACATCCCATTAGTTGTAATTAAAAGTATATTATATATATTAAATAATACACAACTCCAATTATATTATAATCAACAAAATGTAGGTATAATTAATGTAGAAAGAGGATTAATACAATATGATAGTTTATCTAAATTATTATTTGTATTATCTATTGTTATATTATCTAAATAATTAGATAAACAAAATAATAAGTTATCTATTAGAATGAATGGAGAAGAAAAACAAGTCCAGTTAAACCACATATTATATATGGATGATTTAAAGATAATAACTAACAGCCTCGAAGAAATGGAAAAAGCCCACAAATTAACAAATGAAATATTTAATAGAATATGATTAAAAATAAATATAGAAAAGAGTGAGATAATGACTAATATCAATGGTCAGATAAATGGAGAATTAGCTGAATTACCATGAGTAACTAATGATAATCATTATAAATATCTTAGTAATGAAATAGGAGATAAAATAAATATTAATAAATATTATACAAGAATATTAAATGATGTATCTTCTATTTTATCATCATTAAATATTATGAAATATAGCAGCATCAATACAATTAGAAAGATTAATAATGATATAATCTCAAAATTAAGATATGGATTCTGTATTGTCCCATGGAAACTTGGTGAGTTTGAGAATATAGATAAACAAATAAGAAAGGCATTGATACAACTCCAACTATACAGTAGAAACATCAATAAAAGTAGATTATATGTTACAATAAATGAATTAGGAATTGGATTAATGTCAACATGAGATGAATGTTGTAAAGAATTAATAAGAATATATTTAAAATATAAATATCAAATACAAAATAGGAGAAATGATAGAAGCAGTAAAAGAGAATCCAAAATGAATAATTAAAAGAATGAAGAGGGTATTTGGTAAGAAAATTAATTTCAATAAATGAATATAATACAATTAAATGAAATAAAACATGATGTAAACAAAGTAATTGAATTTGTAACAAATAAAATAAATAAAAGATATTTAAATGAATTGAAAGAAATGTAGTGAATATATAAGAAATGTAAATTGTATATTTAATAATAAGAAATTATCAGTAGCCATATGGAGGTCATTAAATATAAAAAGAAATATATTCCTCCAAGTAGTAAAGATGCAAGAAGGAGTAACTATGACAGGAAGTATTAAATCTAAAATACTCAATTGTGATGCTTTAAAATATTGTAAACATTGTCCTAACACAATTGCATCTATTAGCCATATTTTGTTAGGATGTCCTGTAATGAAGAATAATCAAATATTAAAACATGATTATGTATGTAAACAAATATATAAACATATATTATTTACATATTTTAATGAATTTGATGAAATAGATTTTAATACACCTCCTAAGTGTATTAATAATAATGAAATTGTTATAACTTACAATAATGATTTATTGGTTAGTGACCATTCGTTTAATGTTAGAATACCAGATATATATTATCAAAACATCAAAGATAAAAAAGGATATATTAATGATGTCGCTATATGTCAAGATAGAAATATAGAATTAAATTATATTTACAAAATAAATAAATACAAAGAATTACAAGAGAAGCTAAGACAAAGTAGAGAATTAACTTATGTAGAAATAATACCTGTAATATTAACAATCAATGGGTTGATACATAATGAATCAGTAAGAAGATTAAAGACTAAAATTACAAATCAACTTCCCCAAAATACTACGAACAATCATTATAAAAAACATGAAATACTTAATGTTCTACACATTCAACACTGGCAACACATTAGAAGAGGAACCTTCTAATGCGAGTATGTTAGAAATGAACTCTATTGTAGAAATAGAGCATATTGAAACACTGAAACAATCACTTCTCAATATGAAGAAAATCCAATTATGGATATATCTATTAATTGATATTTTTTTTTATTAAATTAACACAATGAATATGAATATTTCAAATAAAATAAAACAAGAATGAAATATGAACATTTTTATATTCACCATTTCATTTATTGATAGATGAAATGTTCATATTCATTTATTGATTTTATATTCTTTTTTAGTTATTATATTTCAAATAAATAATAATGAATAAAAATCATTTCATTTCAATTACAATAATTCGTTGTGGTTTGAAATATCTGTCTCCACAAAGTGCATTTTCAATTCCTTTATATTCAAATGAATGTCGATCACACCATGAATATGTTTTATTATTTTCTTTACCAACACCAATATCACCATATCCAAATACAAACAAAAAATCATATGATTGACTAGCTAACCAAAATACATGTTGTTGATCATCAATATCAAATTTCATCATTTCTTTTATTCTTCCTTTTGATTCTAATGAAAATACAAATGATTTTGGATCATTTATATAATCATCAAATTTATCAATTTTCACATTAACATATCCTCCAAATTTATTTCCTTTTGTATCTTCAATAACAATTATTATATGTTCTTTATTTATTATTCTTTGTTCAAATACTGATGTATTAATATTCCAATCATCAATCTCTGAATCAAATATTATATTGGATACTTTTCTATTTGTCCATTCTTCTATTTGTTTCATTTCTTCCATTGTACTCATTCCTCTCATTATTCTTAATCTTTCTCCTTCTTTTCTCATTTTCTCTTCTTCTTTTCTTCTTTCTTCTTCTTGTTTATTTCTCTCTTTTTCTTCATCTTCTTCTTGTTTCTTCTTCCTCTCAAAATAATCACTGTAATATGTGTTCCATTCTTCTTTCTTTTTGTTAAATTCTTCCGTGATTTTATCTTTTTCTTCTGGTATTCTGAATAGTTTATCTTTCATGTTCATTTCTTCAATTGAAATAATTTTATTAATTAATTCATTCCTTGTTTTACTTAGTATTTCTTCATCTGAATTACATTCTTCTATTATTTTCTTCATTTGATTCTTTATTATTTCTATTCTTTTAATTGTTTCTTGACTTTTTTCTATTATTAGTTTTCTTCTTCTTTCTGTTTCATCAATCCTATCAAATATTCCTTCTCCTCTTTTAATAGCTTCTGAATATGTTTCATCTGCTTTTATTTCAAATATTTCATTTTTAATACTTCCTAAATAATATTGATAATGTTTATTAATATCATCAATTGATTGTTGAATATTTGGAATTGTTTCTATTTCTTCTTTAAAGAATTGAGTGTTCTTGTTTATTAACTCTTCCATTTTAATTTAATTAATATCAGATCAAAATCAGATGATTAAATAACTAAATACAATCTTTGTAACAAATCATTTATTATTTTAATAAGCGTTATTTCATTTTTATTATTTTTAAATAACAATAATAAAAACAAGAAATAGAAGATAATAAAAAATCAGAAATAACAAAACATCTCATCACAATTAATGATAATATCACAAAACAATGATATAAATGAAAATGAAATATAAATGAAAACACAAATCAAAAAAAAACAATCTAATTCCAATCAATAATGAAAATGAAAAACAAATGATGATAATTAATAATAAAAGTAAAATAAAAGAATGAGAAAGTAAAAATTATATAGAAATAAGAGATAATGATGATACCATGTGAAATCATTTTAACGAAAAGATAAATAAAGAAGATGTAAAGATAGGTAAAATGACCAAAATGAAATAAACAACATATTAACATAATGAAAAACAAAAAAATATGAGAATAACTAAATAATACATAAAAACTAACTTCAATTAAATTAAATAAAAGAATTCTCATGTTTCTATAAAAACAAACTTTATAAACAGTATTATTCATTTAGTATTAACTATTCGTAGTTTTGATTGGTTTATTTGTTAATTTATTATTTTAATATAATGATTAAGTATTGAAGAAAAAACTTATCTTATTGCTAATAAATAATGTAGTATAAAAGAGAAAGTATTGTATTATATTATAAAATAGAATTGTTTTGTATTAAATAATAAAACAATTGATCTACCACAAAGTAAAGATAAAGATATGTACAGTACATGAAGAAGTATTTAAGAAATATGAAAAGAATAATATTAAGAAGTTTAAAATAAATGAAATCATTCTTTCATCTTTTTATAATTCTAAATAAATAAAAATAAGAAAGAATTAATAAGGAATGATAAAATAAACTATAAATAAATGATAAAAAATAAATAAATTTTAACCAAAAATAACATTTTTCTCATTATTAATAATTGTTATTTCTTTTTAAAAATATAAAAAGTAAAAATAAAAAAGAAGAAATTAAATATTCATGGATTTAAAGAAAGTCCTAACCACCTCTCCCTTCCCTTTAGATAAAACTAAATTCAAGAGTTTTATTAAAAACAATTTAAACACATTAAATATTTTACCGTTTGTTGTCTTCTCTATCTTTAATACAAAAAATAGGGTTATTCATTAAATAGAAAAGTAGTAGTTGAATTAAAAACAAGAAAGTGTATTGTAGAAAACACATTAAATTTATTGAATTTATTTCCTATGAATGTAAAAATGTTACCAACACTTCATAAATTAATTACATTAGAAATGAATAAACAAACAACTTTAAAATTCTTAAAAACATTAGAAATGGTGTTAGGAGTTTCAACACCTATTGAAGTAAAATCAATTAAATTTGATCCATTGTTATTTTATGATTATTTATTAAACTTTTCAAAATCAAATAATTATTTATATCAAGCATACTCTCTTATGTGTTTACATCATCTTATTGTACAACACGAATTAAATGTTCCTTCATATCTTCAATTATTATATTCTACATTAACTCCTCGATTACTTTTAAGTCCAGTTATGTCTACTTATTATGATAGACTTTATAAATATCTTATAAGTTCTTATACTCCATTATACGCTTCAGCTGCTTTTATAAAAAAATCATTAAGACTTTGTTTAGAAGCACCAACTGGATCAATTCTTATTATTTTAAATTTTATTCTTAAAGTTCTTTATGCTCTTCCTCAAATTCATTATTTACTTCATCGACCAGCAATTCCATCATACCGTTATCCAGATGTTGATCCATTTGAAACAACACCATTTACTTCATCTTCTAAATTTGATATTGATTTACGTGAAACTCAAATTGAAAAATCATTCTTATGGGAACACTTATTACTTCAACAACACCCTCATCCTAAAGTTGCATTATTGGCACAATCTTTTCCAACTTCAGAAGATGACCCTGTTATTCTTCCACCCGAACTTGGGATTAAAGATATTATTGATCCAAAAATATGTCCAGTTACAACAACAATTAGTGTTGTTGTAAATCCTTTTATGGTTATGTCAAATGATCAAACAGTAAATGAACCATCCAAAACTGATTGTGAAGAATTAGGAATAAAATATAAAACATCATTATTTGATGTTGTGTTTGATTAAATTTTTTTCCTTTTTCAATTTTTAGGGTTTTGTTTAATGTTTATAATCCTCTAACTGATAATTTTTAGTTGTCTTATTCTTTAAAAAATGGCTATGCGTAGAATTCAAAAAGAGTTAAGGGAGATCCAACAGGATCCTCCTTGTAATTGTAGTGCTGGACCAGTTGGAGATGATATATTTCATTGGACTGCAACAATAACTGGACCTGATGACTCTCCATATCAAGGAGGATTATTCTTTTTAGACGTACATTTCCCAGTTGATTATCCGTTTAAAGCACCACGAGTAACATTTATGACAAAAGTATATCATCCAAATATTAATAAGAATGGTGTTATTTGTCTTGATATTCTTAAAGATCAATGGAGTCCTGCTTTAACTCTTTCTCGTGTATTGTTAAGTATTTCATCTTTATTAACTGATCCCAATCCTTCTGATCCTCTTGACCCAGAAGTAGCTAATGTATTAAGAGCTAACAAGAAACAATTTGAAGATACAGCAAGAGAATGGACTCGTATGTATGCCAAGGTTTAATCAAATGTTTTCAAATGCATTAACAAACTATGGTTTCATTTTTGTTATTGTTTAAATGAATTAAAGAAATCAATAGGTATGAATATAAAAGAACAATAAAAACGTTATTTATTTGTGTTAAAGAAAATAAATATATTTTATCAGTATAAAATTAGTTAATTTAAGGAGAAGAAACGTTTAATTATTTTCAGTATCAACCATGTATTCGACTTCAGACATTCCACGAAGAATCAATGATATAATTTGATAAACAGGGGTAAATTGATAAGGTATTTTTTTGTATAAATTAAATTGTTCAATACAGTTATAAATACTGTTATATTTAAGGAAGTTAATTTTACCATTTTCTATTGTTGTATCTAGACCACATCGAATAGATGAAATATGATGTAAAGTAACTCCAATAAATGGAACAAATGGTTGTTTAGATGAAACACATGAATCAATTCCTTTTCTGTAATTAGAATAACAACTTTTGGAATCAAACATAGTTGGTAGAGTGAATGCATCAACTTTTCTATTTGAGAAACGATTTTGAAATTCTTTTTTATGATCAGCTGAATTAAATACAGTTGCAAAAACTGCCATTGAATGGAAATCTTTATTATCATATAATTTCATCCATATATCCATGAATTTTTCTTTGACTTTTTGCATTCCAATAGATGCTTTTTCTGAATCAGGGAGAATACGTTCACTAAAGAGTGATTGTCGTAACCATTCTACAGCAATGTTATAAAATTTTAATACAGCAGAAATATGAGATCCAGTTGCCATCACAAATTCAGATGATGAGATTGAGTCATATAATTGTTGATCAATTAGACACAAAGCTTGAGCAATTAAAGTTGGATCAATATCTTTTAAATATAATTTATTTGAAAGAATATCATTTGGTAATTGTGGTTGTTCAGTTAAATCTACTTTATAAGATGGGAAATATTGTTTTAACGTTTCGTGGTCTTTTAGAATTAAATTGAATTTATCAAAGTTACTAGCTACTTTACCTAATTTTGATTTTATTATATCATCAGTAAATTCAGGTATTTCAAGTTCAGTAAGTAATGGAATCATTTGAGTAGTGAAATCAGATGAAAAATGTTCAATCCAATAACTAATAATATATTTGAATTTTTCAATGTTTTGATCTTTGATTTGAATAAATTTGTTTAAGAGTTCAATCGGTGTAATAAAATCACGATATACAGTTAAGAATTTATTTAAGTAAACATCAGTACTGGTCATTGTAAATAAAATCAATTGATTTGTTGACATAGCTGCAGGTATTTCAATACCATCAGGATATTCACTACATTTTTCTAAAATAATTTCACAATTATTATTAGGAATAATATTTTCATCAGTAATGGGAATATCAGTGTCAGTAGATGTATGGAAAGAAATGTGTTGGTCATATTCTTCATCTGGTAATTTAGCAAAATCTTCTTCTTCAAATGGTAACTTTTCAAATAAATTATCACCATCCGTTAATCCTAATTTAACCATTCCTTCAAGGGCATCTTTTAATGATGGATCAGATGTATAATTTACAAATTGAGGTGAATCAGGTTGAAGTAATTGATATTGAGGATGTTTTGATAAAACCTCTTTTACTAAAGCAATTCTTGTTTCTTGTAATTTTTGTTCTTTTAAATATTGACAAATTAGTGCAATAACCTCTTCTTCTGGTAAAGCGTCAGGATTAAATACTCTACTTTCTGATAAATTACGAGCAAATGAAGGAAGAGAATATTCTTTTAATTGAGTGTTTTGCCAATTATCTTTAAGTCCTTCTAAAAATCTTGTCTCTTCAGCTAACTGTAAAATTTCTGGATGACTTGCCATTATCCTTTCTTCCCAATTTTTCTTATCTTCAACTTCATTAACAAAAGGGACATCATCTATTTGTGTTTCTTTTAATCCACTCATCTTCTTATTTAAAATCTTTATTTTTAAGTTCTTTTTCTCTTTTTTCAAAATTTATTTTTTGAATTAATTTTTAATTTTTCATTTTTAAATTTCAAAATTTTTTTAATAAAAAAAAAAGAGAAAAGAAAAAAATGGAAAGAAGAAGAAGTAGAAAGAAGAAATGAACTGAGAAAAGGGAATATGATACCTTTAATAACTGTATGTTTAATATTTGCAGGAAGTGTGAATGCTAAGTTTTATAACATTCATTTATACAGTGAAAATTTTGACTTAAAAAAGTTACAAGATGAGATCGAAGAGCAACATGAACACTTTATACCATTTAATTCGACAATGAATCAAATTCATATTGACCTTTATTCTACAAAATTTCTTGATATGGTAGAAGATCAAATCATTACAAAAACTGCACAACTATTAACGTATGAGGGAGAATGTGAAGTTATATCAACAAAGATTCAAAGTGTTGGAGGTAAAGTATGGTTACAGTTAAGTCCAAATGAATGTTTAAGACAATTAAGTAGTAAAATAGTTCATGGACTTTCATTTTATAGAGATCCATATCATAAAAGTAATGATTGTTTAGAAAAATCAAATGAATTGTGTAATGAATATGGTGAGCCTGATGTATTATCAAGTTATTATCCAAAAATTTTATTAGGATTTGATCAAGACTATTACTCTCATTCATTTATTCAATTATTTAATAATTTTAATATTGTTAGAATTGCTTATTCAAATGAAGATCGTATTGTTCAACCTAATGATGTATTAATGAATATTGTTTTAAGAAAGCGACTAAGCAAATATTAACATGATGAATAAAAGACCTAATTTAATTATTTTCAAATATTTTTAAAATATCTTCTACTGACCGTTTCTTTTTTAATGAAAGTGGTTTATTTTTTATTAATATTTGTTGTGAATTGATTGTTGAAGTTGATATATTTAATGAATTCGTTGTTCTATGTAATGGTTTTGGTATTGTTTTTTTTCTTTTAAGTATTTTTTTGGGTTTTGTTTCTTCTTTTTGATTATTTGGTTCTATTGTATTAATTGATTCAAATACTTCAACAATAAATGTCGGAAGATTAATAATCATATCATTTTTTACTTCAGTTTCATTGATTGTTTCACAATCAATTTGTTTCCCTGGTTTTCCATCATCATCTTCATATAATTCAAACCTTCTATATTTAGGTCTGAAAATGGCATATCCATCAAACTTTTTTTTAATTCGTTGAGTAATATCTTTTGAATATAATACTTTAAACAATTCACCTTCTTCTTCTGACATCTTTGTTTATATTTTTTAGTTTTAATTTAATTATAAAATTGAGGAATGATAAATAAAAAAAGAAGATTCAATTTAAGATATTATTTCATTAAATTTCAATAAAAAGGAACAATTTATATAGAGGAATTGATAATCTGATGAGTGAATTTATTATTGTTTTCTTGAATTATATACTTTATATAAATCAATAAATAATAGAGTAAAAATGATATTAAAAAAATAATCAAGAAAAAGAATTAAAAATGATTATAATTTAACTTTTGATTTTGTCTGTGCATAAAAAGAATAAATATTCCCAATAATATTGATACAATCAACATTGATATTAAAATAATAAATGAAACTCCAACATAAACTAAAATAGAAATATTTGTATCTTCATCATTTTCATCGATATTAACACAAGAATTTTTAATACAATTTAATGTAATAGAATCAAGGAAATAATTATAATCACAATAAGATGGTTCACATTTATTTGACCAAGAATTATTAATACATTTAAATCCTCCATATTTATGAGAAGTAGATTCATAAATATTACATTCAATTGAATCATATTTCATTCTATCATTTAATTCATTACATTGTATTTGAAATTTATCAATTATTCTTAATGTTTCAGTAATGATATCATTAACAGAAGAAAATTGTCCACGGTTTAAATGAAAATCAGGAATAATATTACTAAGTTCTAATGGAAAACTTTCAGAAGAATTATAATGATAATCATAAATTTCAAATACTGGTAGATTTAATTTTAAATTATTTCTTTTTAGATTATTTAATTCTCTTGAATCAGTTTCTTGCATTGATAATGTACTACCTTGTGAAATTCTTACTTTATTATCATTTCCTTCATACCCATATGTAACACTTATTGAACTTCCTCTTAAAACCAATCCAAGTGCAAAATGACTACATACCCCAGTACATAGTCCATCTGAAAATATAACAATATCATTTGATTTACGTAAAGAACTCATTGTTTTTGTTAAACTATTAAATACATAAAGAATACTTTCTGTTCTTTGATGAGTCATATTATTAAAAGAATCTAATTGTGAACCAATATCTTCTATATTAATTTGTTTACATTCAAAGTCTTTAAATTGGTTAATAAATTCTTTTTTATAAAATAAATTCATTGTGTCAAAATATCTAAATGACCCAATTAATCTAGTGTCATCATGTAATACTATTGATTGATGTAAACTTGCTGCTACTTCATTATTTCCAAACACTTTTGGTTGTTGAAGAACAATACCAATAGGATAAGAATTAGAATCAAATTTTTTTAAGCAGTCATTAAGATTATTAATATCGTTTGTTTCAAAAGAAGAAAGTATTAAAACATTAGTTCTTCTTTCATTCATTACATAACACTCATTTCTTTTAAAAGAACTAACTGATAATTCATTAAATGAATTAGGTTCTATTTTAACAAATTGATAATAAAGAGTATATATTGTTCCATTATTCGTTGTTAATTTTAATGGTGTTTTTAAATCATCAAATGATAAAGGAAGTTTTGATAATCTAATATTTGAAATTGAAGATAAAACCCATGATAATTGAGCATGCTGACTAATATAACTTCCATATTTTTTAGCAAAAGATAACAAAAATTTTATTGGATCGATATCATTAATAGAAGTCAAATATGATTTTTCTATAATTGAAGGTTTAATACCAAATAATTCACAGTTAGTATTTGGTGTAATATAAATTCCATTTATGTTATAGTTAAATAAAATATCATATATTCCTAGTAAGTCATTAAATGATGAAGATTCAGGTACTCTTAATGTTAGTGATGGATCAAATGTTGTTTGAAATGTAAAAAATATAGATTGAAAGAATGAAAATAATGTTTGATTCTCTGTTTTTATTTCATTAATTTGTTGAATTAAATCTATTGGATGCTCTTTAATCGAAGAGTTATTAATATCAGTAAGGACATAAGCTTGAGCCGCTTCTTTTAAATCATTAATAATTCCCTCAATTTCTAGTTGGTTAATAGATGTTTCGTTAATACACTCCTCTACCTCTTCAAAAGTAAATGATTTTTGAAAAGTTATTTCACTACATGGATATGCAAATAAATATGGAAGAAAGAGAGGAATAATGTATAAAATCATTAAAAATTTTTAATCTTCTTTTTTTTTAGTCTTTTTCATTTTTTGTTTTTTTTTTATTTAGGAAAAAAAGATAAAAAATTCTTTATGAACTTTTTATTTATTATATTAAATGAACATTGAAAGGAGTAGAAATGCTTATCCTTTTTGTCTTCCTGCATCATTGAGTCTACCAAAGAAGAGTTATAATAAAATGTTTGAACGTCAAAGAAAAGAATTTAGGACGAATGAGTCATTGAGAAGAGAAAAGATGAAAGAGATGATTAAAGAGATTGAAAAAAATGATAAGGTATTAGAAAAAGGAGAGGGTGGTGGTATTGGTAATACCATGAAGAATTTACTTAAAACTGAAAGGTGTTCTAGTTGTAATAAAGATAATATTCTTGGTACATTTGTTTATAAATGTGAATGTTGTAAAGCGATATTATGTGGAGAATGTATAAAAAAGAGAAAATATCAAAAGAAAAATCAAGAGATAGTAGATGTTGTATTGTGTAAATATTGCGATTTCATTTATACCGCTGTCACTGAAGATATAGTATTTACTGATAATATAAAACAAGCCAAGGAAGATTCAGTTTACTTATTAAGATGTCAAATTATTAATACTTGTATTTCTTTTATGGAAGAATACTCTATATTAAATTTATTTATGAAGAAATTAATTTCAAGTCCTTCTCCAAGAGAAAAAGATGTTAAAGCATGTGAAGATTCATTAAAAATAGTTAAAGTTAAAACACAAAAAGTATTATCATTACAAAATATGGTTGATTATTTTGAAACTCCTCCAAGAAAGTCAGATGCAACGATTGCGTCTAATATTATTAGAGGTATGAACACCTTTAGAAGAGGTGTGGTATTTAATTCTATAAATGAAGTCAAAAGTTATGAAAATTTACTTCAAGAAATAGATGCAGCATTAGATTTTGACCCAGAAGTTATAGGAATTTCTAATACTATGTTACCATTAACAGGAGGAACTTTGAGTATTACTCTGAGTTCAATTAGAAATATCAAAGTAATTATCAATAATATGAGCATACCATTTACTACTCAAGGACATACTATCACTTTCAAAGCACCTCCTTTAATAACTGACCAAATGATATTAAATATTCATTTACTTCATAAAGATAAGGAAGTGCCATTACCCAGTGATATCATCTACTTCGATATTCCAAAAGAAATACTTAGACAAAATTCTTTAGCAGATCAGCCTAAAGAAGAATTAGAAAAGAAAGTTCAACAAATTGAAGCACAAAAAGAAGAAGAACTTGTTAAAATTATTTCAACTATTGGAAGCAAACATAAAATTGATATTGTTGAATGTGACGATAGTCTTAGTGATGATGAATCGAGTTTTGGTGATCTAGATGATACACTAACAGATGATAATGAAGAAGAAGAGACTGTGTTATTTAACCATTTAGAAAAAAAAGATACTGAACCTAAAGAATTTCCTAATAAGTCTGAAAAAAAGGAAGGTGAATTAACAGAAAAGTGTATTGGAGATACTCCAATAACTAAAGAGTCTAATATTAAGGAAGAACCAAAAGAAAAATCACTTTCGCCATTAATTACATTAGAAAAGAAAAATACTGGTAATGTTTTGTTTAGAAAGAGTAGGGTTATTCGTTGTAAAGAGATTGAAGAGGAAAACGAAAGAATTAAAGAAGAAGAAAAACAAACAAATAAAAAGAAGAGAGTGGACAGTTCTCGTGACACAACAATAAAAGAGTCAAAGAATACGATTGAAGGATTAAGTGGTCTTAGATTTGCCACTACATCCAACGTCAAAATCAGTGAAGAATTTGGCAAAGCCTTAATGAGAACAGACGATGTTGTCAGGATTGATTCAGTACAACCAACAAAGTACAACGGAAATGAACCTGTATTATTTACTATTACTGGAGATAATTTTGGAAATGAACCAATTGTATATATTGGAGGGAAACAAGTAGATGTATATGAAGAAATATCTAACACTTGTATTGTCGGTTATTTACCATATTTTAAACAAACTCAAGTATTGGATATTGTTGTTGAAAAATGTTTTGGAGTAAAACAAACAAAAGAAAATGCAATTTTAGTTGAAAATTAAATGGTAGTTAATTTTTTATTTCAATTTCTTTGAATAAAAAAACATTATTAAGGGAGTGACTCGTTGGTAATTTTTAATAACAAATAACCAATAGCTTATCTTAAATTAGAAGTAAGGAGAAAGGTTGGTTTATAATTTAATTAAAATAATGTTTATTAATCAATAATTCTTCAAAAGATGATTTTTGTTTTTTTAACACAAATACTACATGGTTTAATTCATAACAAAATTAAAACAATAAACTAATGAAGTACAGAAAAATAAATGAAAGAATTAGCAATTTATATATTAGATTGTGGAATTATAATTTTCTTTCCATACCCATAACCATTATTATTTTTTTATTTTTTTTTTGATTTTATAATGAAGAAATTGAAAAAACACTCAAATTAACAAATGAAATATTTAATAGAATATGATTAAAAATAAATGTAGAAAAGAGTGAGATAATGAATAATATCAATAGTCAGATAAATGGAGAATTAGCTGAATTACCATGAGTAACTAATGATAACCATTATAAATATCTTGGTATTGAAATAAGAGATAAAATAAATATTAATAAATATTGTACAAGATTATTAAATGATGTATCTTCTATTCTATCATCATTAAATATTATGAAATATAGCAGCATCAATACAATTAGAAAGATTAATAATGATATAATCTCAAAATTAAGATATGGATTCTGTATTGTCCCATGGAAACTTGGTGAGTTTGAGAATATAGATAAACAAATAAGAAAGTCATTGATACAACTCCAACTATACAGTAGAAATATCAATAAAAGTAGATTATATGTTACAATAAATGAATTAGGAATTAGATTAATGTCAACATGAGATGAATGTTGTAAAGAATTAATAAGAATATATTTAAAATATAAATATCAAATACAAAATAGGAGAAATGATAGAGGCAGTAAAAGAGAATCCAAAATGAATAATTAAAAGAATGAAGAGGGTATTTTGTAAGAAGATTAATTTCAATGAATTAATGAATATAATACAAATAAATGAAATAAAACATGATATAAACAAAGTAATTGAATTTGTAACAAATAAAATAAATGAAAGATGGGAACCAAAATAAGCAAAGAAATAATGAATCTAAATAATAAACCCCAAAAAGAAAAGGGCAAAATATTTTACATCAATAAAATAATAGTTTTTATTATTTTGCTCCTAAAAAAAAAATAAAAAATAAAAAAGTAAATTAAATAATCATTCTATATTCATTTATATTTGTTTATATTTTATATCATTTTATGGTAAATTGTTAT